GAGCAGAAGTCGCTGTTCCGCAGCGAGCTGGAGCGCTTCCGAGACATGTTCGTGGAGTCGTCCAACTCGCCCGGCAGGCCCGACTTGCTGAAGTTCCAGATTGATACTGGGGACAGCAAACCGATCAAGCAGCAGCCCTACCGCGTTTCGTTCGCCGAGGGTGAGGTGATGGAGGCGGAGATCCAGCAGTACCAGAAGCTGGGCTTCGTCCGGCCCTCGAACAGCCCCTGGGCCAGCCTCGTAGGAAGCCCGACGGTGGCATCCGTTTCTGCATCGATTATCGCAAGTTGAACGCCGTAACGGTCAAAGATTGCTATCCTATGCCGCTGATTGACGACATCCTGGACGTGCTGAGTGGAGCCAAACTGTTCTCGACCATGGACATCGCCTCAGGCTACTGGAACGTGTCCATGCATGAAGACAGTATTGCTAAAACGGCTTTCACATGCAAATACGGTCTATTCGAATGGTTAGTCATGCCCTTTGGCCTATGCAATGCTGTACCTGCTTTCGAACGGTTGATGGAGACCGTGCTTGTCGACCTCAAGTGGCGCGTGTGCTTGGTGTACTTGGACGACTGCGTCATCTTCCGCGACGACTTCCCGTCGCACCTCGTTCGCCTTCGGCAAGTGCTGACCCGCTTTCAACAGACCGGCTTCAAAATGAAGATGAAGAAATGCCACTGGGGCAGGAGTCAGGTCGCCTTTCTCGGGCACATTGTGACACCCATGGGCATCCTCCCGAACCCCGAGAAGGTGAAGGCCGTCATGAACGTGCTGAGGTCGCGCGATGTGCATGATATCCGTTCATTTTTGGGGCTGACGAGCTACTTCCGCCGGTATATCCCGGGGTACGCTCTGATCTCTACGCCGCTGGAACGCCTGAAAATATAAGACATTCCGTTCGTCTGGAACGAGGACTGTGAGGTGGTGTTCCGCCAGCTGAAGAGGGCTCTAGTCACTCCTCCTATCCTAGTCTACCCGGACATGAAGAAACGATTCACGCTTTACGTCGACTCGTCAAGGTATGCTGTCGATGCTTGTCTAATGCAGGAGGTGGACGGTCGAGACCGTGCTGTCGCCTATGCTAGCAAGTTACTGACAGGCTCTCCGAAGCACTGGTTTAACAACCAAGACGGAATCTCTGAAATTGAATGCTGGGGCATTGTCTGGTCGACGCGGAAGTTCCGCTGCTATCTGGATAAGCGAGAGTTTGATCTATTCACTGACCATCAGGCGCTTACCTGGATCTTCAGTCCTGGCAACCGCACGACCAATGCTAAGCTCGCTCGCTGGGCGACCGAGCTGTCTAACCTACAATTCCGAGTGCATCACAAGCCCGGGACGAGCATGGGGCACGTGGACGGCTTGTCGCGCCTCCCCACCGCAAGTGTGAACGCGCTGACCATAGCGGACCTGCTGAACCCGGGGGGCTCGCCTGTGGGCATGGCCGACTTGCTAAATCGGGCGACTCGCCCGAGACCGTGGCCAACGACTCAGTCGGGGAGCCGTCCGATCGAGCCGTGGCTTCCGACTCAGTCGGGGAGCCGTCCGACGTGGCGCCCGAACGGATGACTGGAGACGGTGGCGGCGAGACGAGCGCGGAGACCGCGGTCCCGTTGCCGGAAGACGCTACTGAGGACGAGTCCGCGCCGACGGGCGTCCCTCCGTCGTCCGTGGACTTGTTCGGACTCGATATGGAGCAGTTGAAGGTGGAGCAGCGGAGGATCCCGTGGGTGATGGCCCTGATCGCGTTCCTGACGGGTGGAGCGCTGCCACTGGACCCTAACTTACGAGTGAAGGTTGTGAGGATCACGTCCAAGTTCGCCGTCGAGAACGAGTTGTTGATGCGCAGAGTGAATCTCCCCGCGCGCGTCGGACCCGCTCGATCGCTGACCGTGCCCGTGATACCGCTTCCGTTCGTTGAAACGGTCTTACTTTTTTGTCACGCTGATCTACTGTCGTCGCACCTCGGCCTCACGAAGACGCTCGAGAAGGTGAGGCGCCACGCGTACTGGCCAGGGTGGCGACAGGACGTCGAGGAGTATTTGCGCGAATGTGATAAGTGCAGAAGTGGCAAGGGTGCGCGTCCGTGGCGCGCTGGTCGAATGCAGAGAATGCCCATCGTGGATCTGACGGGGCCGTTCTCGTTGCTCGTGGTGGACGCCGTGGGGCCTCTGCCCGAAACCGAGCGTGGCAATCGCTATATTTTAGTTTTCGTTGATTACTTCACTCGCTGGGCTGAGGCGTTCGCCGTGGAACGCTTGGACTTCATGACGTTCGTGGAGGTGATGGTGATCGGAGTGGTGTCTCGGCACGGAGTGCCGTCGCGGTTGCTGAGCGACAACGGCTCGAACTTCACGTCTGTGGTGGCCAAGTCCTTCTATCAGACGTTAGGCATTAAGAAACTCTTTGGTGCTGCCTACCACCCTCAGACTCAAGGACTCGTCTAGAGATTCAACGGAACGCTCATAGGAATGCTACGAATGCATGTGAGTGAGGCTCAAGATGATTGGGATGTTTATCTTCCTAGAGTGCTATCTGCCTACAGGACGGCTTACCACGAAGCCCTGGGAGATTCGCCGTTTTTCTCGCTGTACAGGCGCGACCCAGTGCTTCCGTTGGACGTGGCCTTCCTCGATCTTGGCAAGAAGTGGCGGAGTAATGAAGTGGCTCAGTATAGGCGAGAGCTGTACAGCTCTCTCCGTTTCTCGCGACATTTCGTTGAGCGTCAATTGTTGAAGGCGCAAGATCGGCACGAGCAGCGCCTGGAAGGGCAAATCGAAGTGAATTATGGAGTAGGAGACCCGGTGTGGGTCTACCAGGTGTTCAGGGCGAAACGCGGCGAAGTGCGCACGAAGAAGCTTGCCTTAGCTTGGCACGGTCCCTATCGGATCGTAGCCAAGGTCGGCGAGAACGCTTATCGGGTCGACATCCCGACTCATCCTAGCAAAACGGTGACCGTGAACGTGAATAGGCTCAAAAGGTATCGTGGCAAGTGGACCCGGCCTTATATGGATGAAGTGCCCGAGGGTGTGGGCACTAGTGAGGAGAACGAAGAAGAGGGGCCATTGGAAGAGGCCGACCTCCCTGCGTCGAGCTACGCGGAACGGTTGACACTAGGAAATGAGGACACTGTTATTGTGGGCGTGGAAGCCCCCATCGTGGAAATAGTGGCGAAGATGAAGGACGGTCTGGGCGTGAAGTACCTGACGATGACCAGCACGTATGAGGTGTTCTGGCTGCCCAGGTAGGCTTTGATGCCAGCGTATGCGTCGTTGGTGACCGCTTCTGAGCAAGCGGATAGGAGGAAGAAGGGATTGCCGGAGCTTCGTCGAAGTGCGCGTTTGGCGGACGCTAACGCCCAAGTCGATGATGACTATTTGCTGCTCGCGTAGATGGTGATGTTCTTGAGCTGAAGAACCTGTGATTGTGGATATGGATTTACGAGCAGCTCAAGAATGGTGGATATGCATGTCAAGTTCATGTTTTATTTGGATTTACCTGCAAAATTAGTGCTGCGGCTGCACTAGACTCGACTACAACGAAATGAAGAAGATAAACGGAGATCCGAGGTGCACTTGGCCTTGTCGACGCTTGCGGAACGCGACTTGAGCTTCTTAGTCGGAGGCTCGCTCGCTACCTCGCCGTCGTCGTCTGCTTCGTCGCCCGGCAGCGTCTCTTTGGCCGCGACGGGGGCCTTGGTGGGCCTTGTCGTCCTTGTCACTGTCGTCCTTGGCCGCCGGCTTCTTCTTGTCGTCGCTGGAGTCTTCGGACTCGCCTGACTTGCTGGAGCGAGAAACCGGAACCCCTGGCTTGGACGGAGTGGTAGCTCGCTGTTTGACGGCGGGAGCCACGAGGTCCTCGTGCGCCGCGCCCTTGCTCTTAGCCGCGCCGGCAGAGTGCTTGGCCGCTCTGCCTCCCAACCACATGAGCGTGTCATGAGCACCGTTCTCGAAGTCGTCGAGAAAGCCGAAGTACCCTCGCTCCTCGATGTTGTAGCTGATGAGCTCGTTCCGCGCTCGGCACGCATTCATTTTCTCCTTGCGCCGCTGGTCGGCATTCAGACAAGGCGCGTACAGCGCCCACAGGAAAAACAGCTCGCGGAAGCGCATGTTGGCAAGGTAGTGGGCGAGGTGCAACTCGGGATACTCGGATGGCGGGTACCAGCACCACTGCTTGCGCCAGGGGTACGCCAAGCGGAACGGAGCGAGGCCCTTGCTGAAGGCGCGCTGCGCAAGTGCGGTCAGGTCGATCTTCAGTCGCGCGGGCGCCGTCTTCGGCAACCGGAAGTCGTAGGCCTCGGCCTTCTGTTTCTTCTTCGATGGCGGCCTCGTCTTGGAAGACGTCCGTGGCTTCGATCTGGTCCCTGTCGATGGACGTGGTGGTGGTGGCGTCGACTGTGGCGTGGGCACCAACGGCGGCAGCGGGATCGACAGGACGGAGTGCTCGGCAGGCTCGCCGGCCTGCATCTGATCGGGGTGGGGCAGGCTCACGAGGATCTGGTTCAGGCGGCGCGCGTCGCCACCCGACAGGACGTCCATGGCCATGGCGTCCAGCACGTCTAGCCCCTGGGACGCGGCTGGTCACTTTCGAAGAGCCCGCGAGCGCCGCTGTTGACCAACTGGCTGTAACGGGGCCTTGGCTGCCCTGCGCCGCTGCAAGTCGATGTTGACCGCCAAGGGCTGCCGCTAGTGGCGCGCGCGGACGGTCCGGACGCGTTGAAGTGGCCGTCATTATGAATTAGCGCTGCTGGAACGATGGCGTGGGCGACGGACGTGGTGAACGGCCTGGCGGCAATAGTGGTGGTCGCTGCTGAGGCAGCGTGTCAAGTTGCGGTGGAGCGTCGCTGGGAGCTGGCGTGGCTCACTGCTGGAGCGGTGTCGTGGACGGTTACGGGCCCCCTGCGAAGCATTGGCTCACGGATCGCCGCTGCGTTCGTCGACTTCGCCCTGAAATGGAGCGTGCTGGCCAAGTTATGCGTCATGCGCTACTGCAGGTATGTCCGTGGGCCTGCCGTGCAACTGCAGCCGCTCCAAACTCGCGTGTGGAAGTGCTACGAGGCCCTGCTGGCCACCCCGTTGGTTGTGCTGGAATCCAAGGGCAAGCACGAAGACGGGCTGGGGAGGTTGCTCTGCAAGTGGCTTGACGCCCTCCACGAATGGTGGTGCGTCTTCTTGCCAGAGACTTAGGCGTCGGGACGGAAGGCGTGCTCCAAGTACTGCACGGGCGCGAGTCTGGAGTCTGGCCGTTCGGTCGCCCGTGCCAAGCTTGTCGCCAAGGTGGTGTGGACGCTGACGTCCCTGATCATGTTCTCGGCGTTCTACGCCGTGCTGTTCATCTACGAAGTCGTCGAGTGGGTCTGCCAGGGCGTGGCCAGCGTGTTCGCCGAAGTCGTGGTCTTCGATTGCTGGTTCGCCTCCGAGGAGGGCGAGCAGGCAATAGTGACTAACTACTGGTTGCTTGTGGTGAACGTTTGGGTTGCGCTGGTATGCATAACCAGCAAGTTGTGGAGGCTCTACGAGGCGTCGGCAGGCGAGCATTCGCCACTGACTATGGCCACGGAGGGCTACGCTGCGTGGTGCGCGGCTCTCGAGGAGCAGGAGCAGGCTGAGCGTCTAAGTGAGGCATTCTGGAGGATGGACGGCGGGGGCAATGCGCCGAGAGTGCAGGTGCGGACGCGAAGTGGATTGCAGGCCGAACGGAGGGTCTTGCAAGCAAGGAGAGAAGTGGATCAAGCTGCGTGCGCTCGGCGAGGACGCCGAGATGCAGTCGGGGAGGATGTCCCGAGTCGGAGCGGCTCGGACCGTTCCAACTCTGTGTGGGCGACGATGAGTGCCTGAGGTCGTCCACCTGCTGTGGCTGCGGACGAGGAGTTGTGGGCCGTGGGCCGGGTTGTCTCTAAGGTGGAGACCCGTGGGCCGCTACCCGGAGGTATCTCGGAGGGATGATGTGTTTCGCCGTGTCGTGGCGGGACTTCGGGGACGGATGGCATGTTAGGCGGCTTTGAGGGCCGTCAAGGTGAACGGATCAAGTCTTTGGGAGGGGTGAGCGGGAACGGAGTCACCCGAAGGCGCTGAAACGCAAGGATCTGCAGAGGTAGAGAGGAAGAGTTAGGAGTAGAAGGAAGGTCAGTCGTGAATTTTGCTTAAAAGGACCACACAGGTCGTATGGAGCACTTATTGCATTTTGCTTAGTGACCTCCTTGCTATTTGTGCCCCATAAACCTATAAGCACAGGCAGCACTTACTACTCCTATACAGCGGCGGCCCGCCCCAAACCGGTCCGACAAAGTGACTCGCGACAAAGAGAGCTGGCACTGCATCCAGTGGATTCACAAAATCGTTTTGTAGAATCGAGTCGGTAGTTTGGGTGCTTGTGGCCCTACCTTACTCCGTTCACGGCTTTGGAGAACTCGATGTTTTTGTGTCTTACAGAGTTCTTCCTTTAATGGCGTTCGATTTAATGGAGCGAATGGACGTTGGCATCCGTCGATCCGAGTCGTTTTCAGCTATTGCTGAACGGAAAGCATGCAACATCTGAACGCAATTCCAATTATTCAGCTTTGACTTTATACTGGGATAGGAAGTAACGTTATTGCTCCTATCGCAGACCAAATCAAAATCGTGGCCGCTCACCAAAATTCTAAACCAAAATGTACGAATCTGAATATATCAATCAATGAACAAAACTACACCAGTCATTGTCCATTTCGAGCAATTGGCAGCATGGCGGAGTTCACACTGTGGTGGCTGCTCGTTGGGAGAAGGCTGATGAGCTTACGTGTGGCAGCTAGCGCAGACCTGGCGAGTGCTCTTAAGATATCCTTCCCGGCAGTCTTCGCAGAGCGCGAAAACGCCGAGTTCAGACTGTATCCAGCCCGACTAGACAACGGTGAATGGATCGAGATGGGTGGATTTCTAAGCCGCGGATTGGAGAATTGCGTTTGAGATAATTTGCAAGACGGAGCTTTGCCTCGATAAATCGGTGGGACACCTCTTTGGAGCGACGGGACCTAACGTCCCTCACCTTATCGTGCGGGCCATGGAGCCAGAACTGGGGGAACTTGTTCATCCGCACCCCGGTGTATCACAAGCGGAGAAAGAAACAAGCAGAGAGCTATGGGTTTTACTGATTGGAGCCCGCCAGGAACCCCAGACCATCCTGATGAAGCCGACGGAGATTGTGTGGGACTTACTGGAGGCCATCGACGCTGAAAACCCGACATTCTTCGCCGGGATTGACTACTCGATGGTTTGTCTGTACTTGGCCAAGACCGAGCGCGGTGACTGGTTTCCCCAGAATGGACCTGAAGCAACCGCGTTAATGACAGGATCTAAGCCAATGGTTAAATCCGTTTGTCGGAAAGAAATCCCTCTGCATCATCCAGTTAAACGCCACTTTAAGGGCGCGGGGAGCAGAGATGTGCATCTTCTTGTCCGGGTCGTTATGCCTGGGATACTGAGCAAGCGCGCTCGCTCGTTGGACGACGCCCTGCCCATCGAGTTTGTGGTGCTTTGGTGCAGAGTGGTCGGTGCTTCCAGCACGTCCAGCTTCCCCGTGATTATCGACCGATCGAAGGCGCTGATCAAGAAAGTGGCATTCTGCGACGACAATGAAGTCCTCGAAACGAGCATTTTCCTGTTTGAAGCTAAGGATGCGGGCGGGCGGTGGCTACCGAGGTTCTCGGAAGACGTCAGTGCGTTTGAGGAGATCCAGCAGCGGGTGACAGAGAAGGAGATCCGTAGCAAAGCGCTTTTCCCGACGCAAACACTGCAAACTATTTTTCATTCGCTGGCAATTGAAGACCTGAACGTGATGATTTTAACAGCACCGAGGTATACTGTGACTCCAAATGAAAGCTGCAGTAGCTTAACGCAGCCGTACCAAAGTGTGGCGTCCGTATTGAAAGCGACCGAGCCAGTGGAGAAGAAGTCAGCTTATCACCATGGAAGTCGTCATGGTGTATGCACGCCTACCACATACGCATTAAATCGCAACGGGCCACCTTTATGGGGGGATATAATCGAAGTTTGTGCTTCGAAGGCTGTCGGTAACACAATTCAGAGACGCAAGTCAGTAAACGACAACAAAACGCAACAAACTAGTGTGCAATTGTACAAGCTCAAAAAGATGTCAATGTTCATGCGAAGTTGTGTCCTTATGTATGCCAGTTTCGTGAAGCTCGATGGTCTAGTAAATCTGACTCCCGTATGCCTTCACCGACGTAATGGTGCATGCCACCGAAGCCACTAACGGCACGCTGACTAAAACCTACAGGGACTGTTGTAGACGCAGCTCTGCCGGCAACAGTCCCTTACAGCCTGGTCAGAAGCGTACTCGTTCGTGTCGCAGCACTTGCTGATTTTATCGAATTTTGCTGTATCGCTGAGGTAGAGGCTGTCGCAGGCGTCTTCGCCGCGACAGGACCTTGCCGAATCGGTAGGCATCGCAGCCATCGCAACGAGAAGAAGGGCGAAGGAGGCCGCGAGCTTCATTTCTTGGTCACTTGATTTGAGGGGGCGAATGTGGTGGTCTTGGCAAACTGAGAACTGATGCGACGAGTGTTCAAGAGGCAAAGCCGGACAAGCTGGCTGCGCTATGCGAGCGCAAACAGCGCAAACAGCGTAATACAGTAACCATCGCCCGAGCCACGTGCTGATTGAGCAAGTTGCAGGACAAACGCCATGATAGGCGATTAAACGACAATAACGGTAAGCGTGATGCCTGTAATCACGTTCGCCGTTAGTTTCTTTCCAAAACAGGGCAACTGGCTGCAGACAACATGGCCGCAAACTGTTGAGTGTTGAAGCGGTAAGTCTGATGGCGTTATGGTACGCACACGAGTAGTAACGACAAGACTGATGACCAGGAATGAGGCAGGCAACGCGACTGCAAGTAGTTCACGTGCGTGTACCTGTATACGACAAAATGCAGGTGTGTATGCTTTGACTACTGTATGTTGTCGCTTGCAGAAAAAAATGGCATAGCTTCCAAGTTGATCTTTATCGTACATGACCCTCTTCCCCCCCTACATTAGGATGCAACTGGCCGTAATCTGAAGCAGGAAAAAGAAAACCCGTGTGATCCAACAAACATTTCGTCATCACGTCTGTCGTAACTATGCGGCCACTACATGGACCATGGCTGCACGTCAGAAATGGGACTAACTATTATGGTAAATAATTGCAATGGTTTTACTAAGTAACAGCGTCGTAGATTTCATGCACCGTGTAGATATGTTTTGTATAGTTTTGTTAGAGTTGGGTGCTAGTTGGCTAGCTTGCTTCCGTGGAAGCCGAACTGCCGCTCGAGCTCAAGCTGCAGTGTTTTCTTGATCTTGCGGTTTCGTGTGTTATGCAGTGCTTCCGTCAGTACGTTCGCTGGACAATCTAAGCTGCTGTACAGAAGTAGCAGAGCTCGCTTTCGGCCGCATCGAGCTGCCATCAGAAATGCTTGATCCAGAAACTTTTGTTAGACTGAGCCTTGGTCAATAAGAAACTTTACGAGTGCCAGACCTCGTCTCTCCGTGACCGCTCTCTCAAAAGCAGTCCCAATAGCTGCAGAACTGATGCTGTGCTCTGTGTACATGGCTGTTGCATCATCGACGGGAATTTTGAAAACCACCCATTGAAACGCGTCACTGACTGCCTCCGGTGGAATACAGTTCATTGCGTACAAGTAGCACACAATCCGTGTGCTTTCTTCGCTGAGCTCGCTAGAGAACGATTTGATCGTTTCCCTGGTAGGTCCGTATCTTAAAGCGTTTGTAAAAGCTGCGGCAATGGAACTGACGGAGACATCTTCATTTGAATACAAAAACTTGATCACAGCAAGACTGCCCGCGGTCTCAAGGGCGTCGATGATGGATATCGGCGAAGCGCGCTTCTTTCCATACAGCAACGTGACAGATTTGAGTTTTCCCCTGCTTGAGGCCAGCACAAAGGCTTTGTCAAATAGCCCGGCTGAAACTTCGTCTGTCGACAGTAGAAACTCGATAATATCGATCCATTCATGGGTCACTGCAGCGAGAAACCCAGCTTCTAACGATGCTGATTCTACTGGATGTTTCTTGTGAAGATACTCCACGGCGCTAGTACTTCCAGCCATCGCCATTCGGACGAACAAGTCGTGTTTCTCCCGGCGTGAGTACACATCGTAAAGTATATTGGCCAGAAGCTCGTTGCCAGGTACTGCTGCTTTCTCAAATGCTCTAGCGATGTTCCAGCAATTTTCCCTATCGCTGAGCAAGAAAATCACGACGTCGGTGTGGCCTTTAGCGCTTGCACGCGCCAAAGCACATAATTTTCTCATGGTGGGGTTGTACCAATGCCAATAATCTCGATCTTTTGCGTGATTCACGGAGAATTCGACGACTTCAAGGTGGTCATTCTCAGCTCCAGCTTCCAGCACACTCCACGTTGCTCGGTAGATTCTCCCTTGGTAGAACTGGCGGTCTCCGGCTTCATCATCTGAATCGTATTCGCGCCAAACAATTTCCGGAAATATGTATTCCACGATATCGAGATGACCGCTGCCTGCAGCAACAACAGCAGCATCTCTCCTCGCTTCCCAGGTCAAGTACTTGTCACACTCGTCTTCGTCTTCATTTTCACCCGCCTCTTCATCCGTTTCCTCCTCCCCCTCCTCCTCTTCTTCGCTGTAGTGACCAGCGTTTTCCAGGAAAAACTTGACGATGTCCAGCAGACCAGCCTCGGCAGCTAGTGCCATGGCCTTCCCCACTGCTCCATAGCCAAATCTTTCCTTCACATCTCTTGCTGCCTTGCACGGCTTCCAGAATTGCCTCCTCGGGTGTCTTGGCCCACTCGTTGATCGCGTCAAGTACGGGATGCAGACTCGCAATTGCTACAGGAAATCGCGCGTCTTTGAGTTTCTTGTAGGGGTAGTCGGCAGCAATTTCCAGCTCACCAGCTGCACTCATGGCTCGTGGGGGCTCGTTGTCACTGCCACGGCTGCGCTTCATGGTCTCCACCTTTAACAAATGCGTTCTCCGTTCCTTGGTGCTGCCCAAAGGTGGTTTTTTAGCGACGGAAACTTCCAAAAATACCAAGCCGACAAGGATGCGTATTCTAGTCTCCAAGTGCACGATTGATAAAACCTCTTGAATCCTGCGTGATGCATTCTATCTGACATAAACTTTAGCGTAGGCCCTCATCCACCCAAGCTGATAAACGAACTCGATCTCATGTGTCTAGCTGCAATCTTGAAGCGACCGACTTGTGGCAGCCAGGCACCTTTTTACCAGCTTACGTCCAGAGGAATGGTCCAGAGTGTCAGTTTTTAGACACAATTGCGGCCTTTTCCAAGTTGAAGTAGCATTTTCTGCAGTCATTCTTTCTCTCCACGTGAGTGGGAACACACGAAGCGGGAGCTTTTTGCAGCAGAAATGCCAGTGACGACGCGACCCGGGAAGCGAGCAGACCGCTCCCAACCTTCCTCTCAGCCAAGACATGCCAAGGCTGCACGCAGCTGTGCTGGCGATCCACTCCAGAGTCAAGTCCAAGTGAGGGGAGTGTTGATCCCCAGTACCAACACCTGCGGGGCGCCCTTTTTCCTGGCGCGATTCTAGCGCTGCCCCATGTTCTCAGCTCCATCAACATGCTAGCAGCGATGACCCCACTGGAGGCGGCGGAGGCAGCAATCAAAGCGAACGACTTCACGTATACTGGAGAGGTCCGACTGCGACGCCACTGAAGTCTTTCGATATGCCGCATCTAGCGGTCGAGTTGGCGCTGTAAGAGCGATGCTACCCAAAATAATGGGCACGGGGGAGTTCACACTGAATTTCTACGTTATCGAAGACTTGAAGAACGCAGCGGTGACTGCTGCCAGCAACGGGCACTTCGAAGTGGTGCAAGTATTGCTGAAGGAGATTGTACAGCAACGAGAATACAGGGCCGTTGGGTACTTTTCTCAGCAAGAAATCATCGCGCACAAGAACCGTTGTGCGTGGAGTATCCTGGACGCGGCCGCAGCAGACGGGTATGCAGATATTGTGAAATTTGCAGCTCGTTACGCACACGATGACAACGACTATGGCAGTCCTCCCGGGAGTGTCACGAGTTCGGGTCTCTTCAGCGCCATTTCTCGCGGTCACACTGATATTGTGGCGTATCTGGTTAGTCGTGGGTATCGTTGGAATGTCCTTGATGCCGTTGATCAGGCTGCGAAGGCCGGACACTTTGAGGTGGCCAACGTGATATACAACGCGTACCACCCGGAGTACCCCGTCGATAACATTTTCCTTCGGATGGCCCGCACAGGGATGACTGACGCACTCAAGTACCTGTATCACGCGGGCCACGATGACCTCGACCTGGTAGGAAAAGCGTTCCTATGTGCCTCAGGGAATATCGGGATTACCGACTTTTTGTGGGAGACTGGGAAAGTTTCGTCAGAACAGTTCGAAAAGGATTTTGAGAGCGCAGCCTGTTGTGGATTTGTTGAATTCATGAAGAGTCTGCTCAACAAGAGAAGCATCTCGGCCGATATACTGAACAAGGCGTTCAAGGATAGTACGCACAATACCGTCACCGGGCTCAAGTGTCTTCTGCAGACCGACAAGATTCGCGCGGAGTCGATTGGCACTTCTTTTCGTGTCGCTTGCCACAATGGAGCTTCCGAAGGCAGGTGCGCTGACGTGGTGAAATTCCTGATCGAGCAGTCTTGCCTGTCATCCGGCGTGATTAACGAGGCACTTCTATCAGCTGTGAACGACAACCAGTCTCGAGTGGTCGAGATTCTAGTTGATGACCATCGTCTGTCGCCTGGTGCGGCCATCAAGGCGTTTGAGAGTGCATTCACGAAAGGATCCCAAGACATTATGGAGGTTTTGGTGAAAAAAGACTTGATTTCTCCTGAACTGCTGCAGAGCGCCTTTATGCGGGTGTTCAACTCTGGGCGCAACTCGCATTTGCGAGAATTTCTGTACGACGAAGGGCATATTCCTGAAGCAGTGGTCCGCAAAGCTCTTCTCAACGCCGCTCGCCGAGGATACACTGACGCAGTTGAATTTCTTTTGGACAAGCCAGAAGCCTCTCGTGACGTGAAGATCGAAGCGTTCATGCTCGCGGCGAGGAACGACAGAGTGAAAGCTGTCAAGTACATGGAATGGCGCGGAAATTTACCACTCGAATCGCTGACCGAAGCACTGAACGCGACGACAAATCAGAAGCTGCAACAATTCCTGACTGGGCGGATCGGACGCGACACGAACTAGGAGAGTCTAGTAACAGAGCATGGCCAGTCAAGGTTTCTGCTTGTCCGAATTTATCGTTCAAGAGCCGTTTTGGCATGCGTGAAGTAGACATTGGCATGGTTTGCGCGCCGAAAGCGCAAAATAATTATCAAGAGACTATTTTTTCACGTGAGTCCTTGGCATCTTTCCACGGAGCCTGGTCGTTAGTGTACTACTACATGGAGTGACACCGAGAGGTCCACGAGCCCCAGGCAACGCGGTGCCTTCGTACGTGCACTGGGTCGTGAACCACAACTACACGTACTAGTGTATACTACGAAGTGTATACAAACTGCACCAAATCTTGAGCCACTTTCCCGCCAAAACGCAGGGATTGCAATCACCACTCAATCCAGGATGCGGGCGCAGCGAGAAGAGCTAGTAGACACCACCCACGCTTCCCCCAAGGCAAAGCGTGCCAGGAACGCAGTCATTCATGAACGACGCGACGCAGCTCAGAGTCAAGTCAACGCAAGAGGCGCCGCCGACCCGCATTTCCCTATGGAAATCCTAGGACTGCCACATGTGCTCAACCTCATCAACGCACTAGCAATGGCACCGGAGGAGGCTGCGATGGAAACCATGAGGCTGGACGACTCCCCATTGCTGGAGATTCTACTCGACAGATCCGACTGCAATGCGTCCCAAGTGATGCAGTATGCCGCAGCTAAAGGCCGAGTTGAGGCGGTGGACACGTTGCTACCCAACGTAATGGGGGACGGGGAGTTCATTCTGGACGACTGTGTTGTCGCTTGCCTGAAGGAGGCTGCGATGGAGGCTGCGATGGATGCTGCCAGGAACGGCCACCTCGACGTTGTGCAGATGTTGCTCAGGGAGATTGCCCAGGAGCGGGAGCACCGCGGCAAGTTCGTGTACTACGGCTACGAGCAGGATGTTGAGATCAACAAGGTTGACGCGGCGTGGGAGATTCTGGATGAAGCCGCAGCGGGTGGACATGCTGATATCGTGGATTTTGTATCTAGCTACGCAAAGGAGGACGAGTATCGTCAAGCAAGCGAGCGGAGTTCGGCGCTGTCGAGTGCAATTTCGGGCGGACATGCTGGCGTGGTGGCGTGTCTTCTGGGCTCTAAGCAATACCACTGGGATGTCGATGGCGCTTTCGATGAAGCACTGCTGAGCGAACAGCCCCAAATTGCTGAGATGATCTATGAAGACTACTGCGAGGAAGAGGTTGGAGGAGAGGACATGCTCGTGCGATTGGCTCGCACGGGGACGCCTGAGGCCGTGAAGTATTTGTACCAAGCAGGGCACGATGACTCCGACCTGGTGGGGGAAGCGTTCGTGAGTGCAGTCGCTGATATTGAGACCGCCAGCTTTCTGTGGGAGACAGGTAAAGTGTCGTCGGATTACTATGAAAGAGCTATCGAGGCCGCAGAAAGTTTAGGGACAGCCGAGGCCTTGAAGGACGTATGCAGCAAAAAGGTTATCTGAATCGAGTCACAACGTTTTAGCAGAGCTGCGTCTTCAAGTTCCTTTCCTCAGTCGAAGTTGATAAAAACTACTCGAAGGTAAGTGTACCATAAATTTGGTACCGGTACAACTCTATGGGAACATGGCAAAGTCCAAAGAGTCCATGCACAAGCGAGTCTGCGGCAGCGACGACACCTCCACGACCAAGCGAGCCCGCTATGTGACCTACTTCGGACACCGCGTCCCCATCGCGACCCGCAAGGTCTGGCTGCGGAACAGTCTCCCTCCGACGGTCGCTGCGCTGCCTCATGTGATTGAGCTGCTCAACTGGATGCTGATGACACCAGAGGAGGCTGCCTCCGAGTTGGCGGAGTCGGGGGAAGTGCAGAAGTTGCAAGAGTTATTCCTATCTAGAGAGCATTTCCCTTTCGACTTGTCGGACGCAATTGTTACCGCGGCAGAGAGAGGGCAAACGGCAACTTTGGTGGTGCTGCTGGCGGAGTCCGAGGTGGACAGGACCACGGAGGCGGCAGTCGCTGCTGGGAAACATGGGCGTCTGGATGTGGTGGAAATGGTGCTGCTCAATGTTGAGTCGAGTTTTAAGCGAAGTCGAATTGCGTGGAGAGTTATGGATGTTGCCGCTGAGAAGGGGCATGTCGAGGTGGTTAAGTTCGTGATGAAACACGCTGACGAACTGGCAGGACCGTATCCAACCTGTCTGATGGCTTCGCAGCGGAGTACGGCTCTAAACAGAGCTATTGCGGGGGGTTATGGCGACGTGATTCGGGTTTTACTTACGCCGGGGAAGTTGAATTGGGACGCCGCCAAAGCATTTGAACTTGCCGTATGCGATGGGAACAAACACATCATTGAGCTGATGCAGGATCTTCTCCCAACTTTTCATGAGTTGGGGACGAACGACGATCTCTTGGTTCTTATGGCCAGGAGAGGGTATGCTGCAAGTGTTCGCTATTTGTACGACCACGGTCATGACGCTGTGGCGTTTGTTGGTGCTGCTTTTGTTGATGCGGCGAAGTACCAACGCATTCGTGCGTTGGAAGTGTTATTGGATACTGGGCGGGTTCGCAGAAAAGCTTTTGAGTTAGCATTCGAGCAAGCCTCGCAATATGGGAAGTTCAGTGCCGTGCGATTTCTCTTTCGTAAGACGCAACTGTCTCCAGGCTGCATTGCGAGAGCCTTCGAGGAGGCAGGTAAAGCTGCTATCGTCAATTTTTTATACTTAAACACAGCCATTCCTACCGAGTGCATCGACAACCTCTTTATTACAGCAGTGGAAAACAATGGCTGTCGTGAAAGCGTTGAAATTGTGAAATATCTTTTGAAGATGGAGTGTGTGCAAGCCAACATGGTAAACGCGAGTGTCGAGATCGCTATCGCTTGCAACAATTCAAGCGTGTTGGAGCTGTTGTGCACCGAAGAAGCTGCTTCTCCGAGCGTCATCATTCGAGCATTTATCTATGCTGCGGAGAGGGACGACGTTGGTCTTGCGAAGCAGCTGTGGAAGAAACCGTGTATCTCTGTGGACGTGACAACGGAGGCGTTGACGAGTGCTGCTTCGAACGGTAGTGCCCACGCTATCGACTTCATCGTCGGTCAAAAGAGTATTTCTTCCGCGACGCTTAAGAGGTTATTACGACATGCAGCGCCCAAACGCCAACACAGTGTTGTGGACCTATTATATACCAAGCATCGTTGGTCTTGGAGTGCGATTCATGATCTGTTTGCGTCTGCTGGGCGAGCGAGTGACAAAAACATTATCGGAACGCTGGTCGATATTCCTTGTGTACCAAGCGTAGCGAAAAACGAGGCATTGTTGACAGCAGTGCGCGAAGGCCGGGAGGATATCGTCGTGCTCTTGGTGAAGCCACGTCGCTACTGGCCCACGTACAAGTTGCAGTATGCACTTAGGCTAGCTGGCCACGATGGAATACGCCAGATTATTCGCGATAACTTAGCCAGCAGGCAAAACTGACAGATAATATCTAGATTTCAGGATGTTCGCTGTCTTGTTGTCATCACCCTCTACCAGCATAAACGATTTTCATCCGTCTTCACGGTTGTAAAACTGTTTCTTGTACGCCAATCTCCAGGTATCAGAATAACTGCAAAATATTCTTACGGAATGCTACTATTAGATCAGTTGTAGTAGCCGCGAGGAGAATAGTTTTCTTGACTACTCAACGGTGAAGTTATGTTTCTTTTGGACCAGCACCAGCTTGGCCACTGAAAGCGACAGTCATCACGATGGTGGCAGCGACTTCTGTGCATCTGAATGAAGCTCCCAAAGCCTCGTCACGTTCTCGAAAATCCTGTCGGTGCACCTGGCTCGTAAAACTTTTCCGTGTTTGGAAACAACTTCAAGTAACTTACTACGGGGGCAGCTACTCAATCCATCGGCTACTCGCTCTCGAAGAATACACCAGAAACACGCCCCTATTCCGCGTATTTCTTGTGTGCATTGGCACTCCGATGCCTACCGTTGCGCTGGTCCTAGTTCAGGAATCCATACCGCTTCAAGATCCAGCGAAAGGATGGCAGGAAAACTACGGATTCTGTATTCGAGCGGCGATTCTCGCGATCGTGATCGCTCGCGTTGTCGTGGACCAGTCGCAGTATTTTATTGATGGCGTGAACATTGGCTGGGCTTGAGAGGCTTTGCTGTGCATTTGTTCATCGGCTGCCATCACATTAGTTGCCGCGCTCATATCGATGCACCTCATCTTTCCGGTGCCGTTCTTCGTGTTGAGTCTAGCTCCGTTATTCTACGTGATATATACGCTCTCGTTTCGTATAGTTCTTGGAGGGCAGATTTTCCACCACGTTACGTCAAGCCGGAAGCAGCTAATGCAGTACATCCGCTTCCTGGTAGCTCAGAATCTTATGGCCGTGACGTATCCAGCCTACGAGACGTTGTTTCGCCTCGCCCAAGGGACCGAGTATCAGCTTCCTGTTATTTTTCTCCTACCCGTGATCAAAACTGCTCTGAAAAATGTCGTGCTACGGTGCGCAGTGCACATGGAAGATATGGCGCCAGAGGCAGTCATCTTTACGGTGGATTTCTTCAACGCAGTGTACGTGTCAACGTGCATGCAGAACGCGTCATCTCTCGTTAGCGCCGTTGCCATCACTGGGACCGATCTATTCCAAACCGCCGTTATGTTGTACGGGCTGCACAAGCGAACTGGAACACTTTTATCGAGGCTTCATCAGCACATTGGTATCGAAACAGATGCAGCCCGGACTGGCGACAGTTTGCTGGCTGCCCTTAGCTCGCTATGCCGAGATCCAGAAAAGTTTGAGAGACAGCTTCGTCCGGGTATTCGAGTATATTCATGCCTCCCTCACGAAGTATCCCGAGAGAGTAAAGATCTCTTGGAAAAGCTGGCCAAAATCTCCTATTCACACGGCATTTCGAGCAGAAGAATGTCGTATGCTTCTAGTTCGGGACCTTCCTTTGCTCCAGTTGCCTCCGCTTATCCTAAACGCCACCTACCTTGGGCAAGAAATCGAGTAGAAGCCATTCAGCCGATTGTTGCCAGTGCTATGAAGCGAGCTCTGCCCCCACCAAGTTCGGAAAGTTTTGACGTGTCAAAGAGAACGCAATCTTCCACAACACACAGGATGATATTGCAAGAAAATCTTGAGGCTCTATTTTCTATGGAGTGTCTGGTCGTCACGGCGTATTTGGAGGCTGCAACACCAGTATTGTATTGTTGCTACGTCTTGGTGATGGTTCATCTGCCCAGTGCCCGATATCACGCCGAAATGGCTGGGGTTACAATGGAGAATGTAGGCTCAAAGATCCTTTTCCTGTTCATCTTTGGCTTGCTCCAAATTGCATCATTCGTGCTGTTGGTTGCAATGGTCAAGCGATGAAGACTCAAGTGTCGCTCATTCAGGGCAAATTAATGGCGTGGATGGTTGTCACTCTTTGCTTTCGGGTGGTTCATTTTGGTACGATTTCCAGTCCGTTGATGTTGGTGTGTTGCTCCTGATTTTCATCGTATTGCTCGTCTGTGTATGTATGTGTTCGATGCAGGGGTCGACTTCACCTTCCGATTCGGCAGCCTAAGTAGTGGTCAGTAGGTTGAGCTAGTCTCGTAAAACAGGATCTACAGGATGGCTACCGAAGTCTCATTGAGCACAATAATATATCATCGTGAAGGATACGACAGCGGTCCTGTGTGGATTGCTCCTCAAAGCCTACACCTCGATTTTTCGCCCAATGAGAAACCGTAGTTGAGCTGAAGTGGTCGATGACACTAAATACCGGCTGTAGCAATTGACAAGTTGACAAACACTTCAACAGAATTCCGGGCATCACTTCACTCGCCACTCGTTCCGTGGCTTTTGTAGATTCAACCTTGATCCTTTTGTACGTACTGTACCACCGGAACACCTTACCACACCTGTCAGTGTCGAGACGATTCGCTAATATGTGATGCCATCTTTTTCGACCTTGGCACATTCATCACAGCAATGCCACACGGGCGCGTGGTTTTTCTCGAGTTTATTTTTTCTGACATGTTTGTTTCCTTTTTCTCCTGGTGAAGCTTGTGTGCTCTATGAATCGTAGTCTACTTTTTCTGTCGGTATTCCTCGCTCGTCGACGACCTGCGTGGGAGGCAATAGGCAAATATGCAACTCAGCGCCGCCACGTCAGCCCCCTCCTGTCTGTCTGTCCACCGGTTGTCCACCTGTCTATTGCTCGGCCGCGTCCTTGTCAGCCACCTTAATGTACCGCGGCACGCCGTAGCCGCCCTCGGCGTTGGGCCAGACCCACTTCTGCCAGCCCTCGCGCAGCCGGATCTTCTCGTTCTGCTCGTCCAGCTCCAGCGTCTCCGACTGCTTGACGGCCTCCAGCAGCGACGCGTAGTCCTGGTGCACCGAGTACACGGCCTGGAAGCTGCCCACGAAGGCCAGCGGCACGAAGCCGTCCACGTCCATGTGCTGGCGCAGGAAAATGTCGCGCACCAGGTTGTCCGACGTAAAGTAGAACTCACTGCAACATCAGCAGCAAGCAACATATACATCGGTTAGCACTAGCCTAAACGAGACCCATTTTCTCTAACCGGTTAGAGAAAATGGGCGCAAACGTTTAGAGAAATTGAGTACATATACGCACATTTGGTTCTTGGCCCACTGCGCCGTCACCTTGACGTCGGGCGTGGGCACGTACACGCCGTTGTAGTACGCGCCGTTGTTGTCTCCGTTCTGGCGGCGTCCTCCGAAGCGTCCTCCGTTGCCGTTGCGCGGTCCGCGTCCACGTCCGTAGTGTCCACCTCGGGTGGACGTCGGCGCGTCCGTCTGCGGCGCCGACGCGTCCGCGGCCTCGGCGTCCTCGCCCTCCATGGGGAACTGCGACCAGTTGAGCTTGCCCTTGCGCTTGGGCTTGGCGGCGCGCGCGGCCGACGACGACGCCGGAGCCTGCTGCGGCTTGTCGCTCACCTCCTCGGCCTCCACGAGGCGGTACTTGACGGCGCCCTCGGGGGCCTCGGCGTCCGTCGCGTTCATGCCCATCGATCGATCAACTCACACACTCACTCGGCGAATGGCGTTTGGCAATGGCTGGCGCGCCGCCAGTCAAATGTTGTGTAGAGATGGTGTTTAAATGCGTTCCGGCTATGTTATAAAGATGACCTGGGTAAGTGTCGTCTGGAACTTTGGGTAAGTATCCGTCTGGAACTGGCGGGAAGTTCCAGATTAGCTAACTGCGCTCTGATTGGTCCCCGCCTGAGCCAAAGTGTAGCCATTGTCACTTCGAAATTGAAGAGAACAACTGCGCGCTGGCAAGAAGATGGGTTGAGTGTCCGGACCAGTATGCTCGACTGGAGAACGCCCGCTTTCCGGTTGAAATTTGCGCCCTCCCGCACGCTATGGAGACCCTGGACACCTTGTTGATGCAGCCGATGGAGGCCATCGCGGAGGCGGCGAGACGGAAGGACATGCAGTGGCTAAACGAGCTGCTGAAGAGATATGGCTACACTCTTCACAGTGCTGCGATCCTCGCAGCCGGAGATGGCAACGCAGCGGCTGTGGAGAATTTGTTGCCCTTGTGTTGCGACGTTGAGAGCGACGACGACGATGGCGAGACATTTGAGGTGCTGCATGAGATGGCTACAACTGCTGCCCGCCTTGGACACTCGGAGGTGGTTCGTCATGTGTTACCAGAGTTCGGGTGGTCCGATCCTCGTTGCGGAGTTGCGTGATCTGTCCTCGACATCGCCGCAGAAAGAGGCCACCTTGACGTTGCAGAAGTTGCACGCGATATAACGCAGTATGGGTACTACGAGGAACCGGAGGATATTTCAAGTGAGGCGCTGTACCTTGCCATTCAAGGTGGACACACTGCTATAGTGAACTTCCTGTTGTATGAGGCGTACAAAATTTGGGACCTCAGGAAGGCACTGGAGCTAGCGATCGATACGGGGTTGCTCACTGCTGTAGCGCCAATTATCGAGACCTATATGAAGAACAACTCGGTGACCATGGAGCGGATGTTCGTTGAACTGGCAGAAATGGGCTACAAACGGAGTGTGAGGTATTTGTACAACCAAGGACACAACGATCCCGAGATGATCGGCAAAGCCTTTGGCGCAGCCGTAGGAAATGATGAGATTGGCGTACTCGAGCTCTTGTTGAATACGGGGCGAGTAGCTTCGAGCGCGTTCGATAAAGGATTGGAGACAGCTGCGCACGAAGGATCTACCCGAGTTGTGGTACTGCTCTACAGTAAAGAGCGCGCAGCAGCCGCGTCGGTCTGGCGTGCCTTTGAACGTGCTGGCTGCGTCGCTGTTTCCATATTCCTGTATGAACACGAAAGCTTTCCAGCTGCGTCTGTCGTTGCTGCATTTCACAATGCAGCCCAAGAAGGATGGCATCACGATTATTACGTGAGCGAGGAGAACAGAATCCCTGTCTTGAAGTTTCTGTGCCACAAAGCACATTCCAACTGAATTGATTGTCGAGAAATTTGCCGGTGCCAAGTGGAGCTCGAGAGGTATGGCAGCACTGTGTGGCGAGGAGCGTATTCCCAAGGAGACGATGAGTGAAATATTCGAGAAAGCCATCAAGAATGGACATGCCGAGCAGGTGGAACAGTTGGCCAACAGGCTAGCAAGTGGGCTTCGAAGTTCGTATTGGTACGGGCTTTGATTACTTTGGTTATCACCGTACGTTTGTGTGTTGTTACAGTTGTGCTAATAAATAATTCAAACGAGCTCGATCATCATGTACATCTGTCTCCCAAAAACTTTGGCACTACTATTAGCATCGTTGTAGCTAGTTTGATGGGAGTCACACTCAATGGCGCTGTCGCAACACATCATTCTAACATCTCTCTCCCCTGGAATATATTTTGCTATTTCCTGTTGTCCGACGAGTTTAGGACCAAAGACCGATAAAATGCGCGTGGTGTTCGTGATGGCGTGTTCGCCGTACACTCTTCTCTACGCCGACATCGAGACGAATTCAGTTGCAGAGGATGTGAAGATGAAGATCCAAACAAGGTTGTCTCAGCTGCAGAAGGTAGCTCAAGCTCTTCCCCGCGATGCAAGCGCACATGTGGCTCTCAACGTCATTGTCGCCCTGAAGAAAGGAGATACGACTCGGATCGAGAGCTTGCTGACGAAGGAAATTGATTCTGAGAAGACATTCGAGGACCTCTTCCCGTTTGTGATGCCGTGGAATACCGTGCACTTGGTGGTGGCCCCCCTACGGAACTCGCGTGCAGCTTCGTTGGATTTTCTGGCGACGCACTGCGCGTTAGCATTGAGCGAGATGCTGACATGAGCAAACTGCGCAATCTACTGCAACGTGATGCCCGCGTGAAAGACCACAGCACCATTAGGTTGGTGCTGGCAAAGCTGCGTGGTTCATGGCTGAAAATCAAAAGCGACGATGCTATTATGCTGGATCTAGGAGACGTGACGAAGGACATGATGGAGTTGATACACTCGCAGGAACTCCACTTAGAAGAGCGTGTTGACCAGGTTTTCGGTCTGGAACCTCCCCGAGGCTGTACTCACGTGTTGGTTGTGGTACCACATCTCCCTCTGCGCAAGGCTTTGCCTGGTGTGCTGTCTAAGTACCGTATCCAACGGTACTGGAACGACTTCGGTTGTATTCTGAGGACTTTAAGGCCTGCTAAGGGCAAACCCGTTGCGCTTAACTGGGTGAAATGGCACGATATCAAGAGCAAGTACGATCTCGACACCTACCACGAGACTTCTCGCCCAGTACGTGACGACTGCTTGGAGCAAGTGAAAGCAAAGTTGACCAAATCTTTGGACTTACTGAAAGGAGCAGAAACGAACGAGGAGATGTCGTGGGCCATATTTTCTCTCTTGCTGGCTATTGTTTCGTCCGAGAATTTGAGCGTGAAAATAAGCGGCAACCGATACATTGAAAACCCAGACGGCAGATTGAACGTTGGTGGCCAGCTCGACTTCGTCCTCAGCAGCGACTCACACGACGTTTGTCTGATGCAATCTCCCGCGGCAGTTCAACACGCACTTGCAGCTGACCCCACGTCCGAAGAATTGTCAGATTTGTTCCAGTACGAAGGGGAATTGAAGACGGGATTGGCGTAGGGGTTTGTGGGGATGGAGTTGTTCAATATGGCAAAATGGTGAGGGGCATCGTGTTCAACCATCATACATAGGGCAGTCGTTCGTCTCACGTATTAAAAATAATACCGTCCTAAGGTGTCACCGAGAAAACTTTCCCAGTAAACGCGACGAAGCTGGTCATGAGGTAGTCGACGAAATCGGCTTCACGAAATTACTCACCCCTCTAACGAGAGCAGCCAACAAACAGTCTAAGCAACAAAAGCATGTACTTCGATGCATTATCGAGATCCTTTCTTCAGGACACTCAAAAGCTTGCCAACCACACACCTCAAGTTGTCCTCTTTCGGGAACTGGTCTTCAGGCTCCAAAAGCTTCACTGTCTGGAACGTCACAACGACTTTACCTTCACGATCATTTGGGTATTGAAGCCTAAGGAAAGTCCAGGAGCGGAAGTCAGTCAGGATACCTGTTGTGAGCTCGCCCTTGCTGAATGTGTTCGCCATCTCCATTCCCACAATCACTTTTGCCATTTCATCTTCTGACGTAGTGCAGGTAGTGATTGCCACCAGACCCACATAATTTCTGCCATTTTGCAAGAGCAAGTCCGCTTTGCCGTGTGCACAAATCCTGTCGTCCTTGCTCTCAATGCTGCAGCCACTTCGCACCTGAAGGTCAGCGGCTGCCGCGTCTTTCACACTTTCCATTAGCGTCAGCACCAGCCAAGAGATTTCTTGCACCGTAGTCACTGTAGACAGCACTTTCATCACATTACCAAGCGACTCCGCCACGACTCGAACCGATTCTTCTATTATATCGACAAAGCGCGCAGACGTTTGGCCAGCTTTCAGTGTGTAGACGTCTCGGATGTTGTTCCAATCGATATCCCGAAAATCGACGGGGATATTCAAGTGGGTCTTCTTCAGAACATGATTGAGATGGTTCCAGAAACCTTGTGCATTGCATTCAGCTAACACTGGTGGCAGTGCGTCTCTAACGTGAAGTCCTGGAACTACCACGAGGAGATGAAGGATGCCCTGAGCAGGCTTGGGGCTGAAGGTTTGCTTCATCGAACTTCCAGGGTTGATTTGTGAGGAGACCATGAGATTCATTACAACTACAGTCGCGTCGCCGTATCTTAGCATCCTAACGTCCTCGCTATGCAGATCCAGCCGACAAGAAAATCCATTATAAATACGTATTCTTATAAAAATACTTGTATTGTCATAAAAATTGCTATGAATAAACCTATTTACAATTATTGTCATTGGGACGAAATTCGTGGGTTTGTAGTAGTGGGGTTTTGGCTAGTAGTGATATTACTACTACTATCCAAACTATGGGATAGGAGAATTTTGGTGCAAACCCCTTCTTTTTATTTATTATTATATTTTTCTTATTAGCTACGGTCATCTCCTGCGCCTACTTCGCAGCCGCAGCACCTGCCCGGAATTTTGCCAGTTTAACCTATCTACCGGCAATGCTTTGCACATTAAAATGCGAACCTTGTTTTTTTAGATCTGTTTGGAGCTTTTAGAAATACAAACGCTTACCTTAGTATTAACTTCATCGTTCACACGTCCAGCTCAATACATATACCGATTCATACCAGCGTTGTCGATAGCGCACCGGTTCACACATATAAACATCCTACCGGTGCGATCTGCCCACGCATATAAACCTTTTGGAGGCACCAGAGTCGTACCGGTTTCAAGAAAATATACCAGTTAGATGTCAAGAGAAGTCATCGTTTGACTTGATGTAGCACGGATATACAGACAACGACGGATAAATCCGGCATAGCTGAATGACATCCTCCATAGTAAATGTGCCAGAATTTTCTGTCGGGAACGATCGAGATTGTACAAGGCAATGACATAAAATACACGTAACGGAGCATAAAGTACACACAAATTTAGAGAAAGTACTTAAAAACCATATGGAATACAAATGTCAAGTGTAACTCTCGAAGCTGATTGGCTATCTGAATTACTTATTGTAAAAAGTACAACATATGTGTGCCGGGTTTTGCGTTGCCGTATTTATCCGTCGTTGTCTGTAATCCTAGTTAACGTTGCTTCCTATCCCAATATTATCGCAATAGTATTCGCAGTTCGAAGAACTGTCGTTATGCGGCCCAGGCGCGGGTGTCATTGACATTCTCGTGACTTTCGCGTGGCATACCCACTTCAACTTGCACCTTCAATCGCGAAAGCAGAAAGCAACGCAATGTCGTGCTAGTAAGCCTCTACATATCGTGCTCGTGCTGCCTTCTAAGCACGCCACCCGTCATCATTGCCAGCGAGTCCTGGAGCTCGCATTGATCACCAAGTCAGGCCGCGCTGATCACAGTACCGCATCGACCTGTAGTGTGCTTAGTCGCTGATCTGGGCGCGTGGCGCCTAATAGTGCGACGGTGCAAGCCTCTACATCAACCCTATCCATGACACGATTTACAATACGCAAACGAACTAAGACGCTCAGATGTCACGCGTCGAAACTGCTGCGCAATACTAGTAAACTTTTTTGTGTTTTTTGTGTTTTGAGTTGATGTACATTTCAGTCATTTAGCCTAACTAACGACCTAGAGAAGTAATACTTACTCAGTATTTGCGACCAAGATTGACAACACGAGTGCGATAGTTGAGCACGCGGTGTAACAGGGTTACACGCACAAGTGGCTACAGTGCAGCGGGGCTGCCGTAGCTTTGCGTCGGTGGAAGCTTAACAGACTCACAGATTCTGAGCTTTAGGATATCCCGTTCTAATACCAGAACGTACGAGTCCGTACACCTTACGGACTCCAAGAGTCAACCCTTAACTCTTAACTGTGTGAATCTCAAACTGAATGTATTTCCCTTTATCGCGGCCAAGCCGCCTACGGTGTAAATGTATCCGGTTCACTATCTAGCATAGTGAACCCTAGTCATATACATAATCAGTGGCTCTGAAGCCGTGTACTGATTCTCCTACTGATTTAGGCTAGACAAATGTGTACCCACTTCATAACCCTTCGGGTAACTCTCGTGTAACCCCGTTACACCCTCCCCCACCAAACCGTGGACACGGGTGTTCACGCTTAACGGTCAACCTCCGGGTCTTGTTCCGTCAAGCCTCCTTCTCGAACGAGTCAATCCACATCGCGTGAACTTCTCTGAGAACTTCTCGGCGCAACGTGCCCTCACATGACTTCAAGTCATAAAGCCTTTTGGTCTTTCCACCGCAGACAGCCTCTCGCGAGATCCGCCTCGGAGCCTCGCTCCTCTCGTGCTGCTGCACTGCGTGCCTCCGCACCTCCGCGAACGCCAGCGCCCGCGCGCACACCCTCGACGCCTTTCAGGCTCTCGGTGTCCGAGTACTTCGCGGCGCAACGCCTGAAGCGCAGCTCGCAGCGCGCAAGCCCCAGCTCTCCTCGAGCACCAACCCACCATATCATGGATCCTAGGGAACTCTTTGGTGAAGAGGGCGAGGCGGGCGAGTCCATGGAGGGTTCTCCGAACCGAGGAGATGCGTCCCCACTCACGCGACGCTCCCCGAGCCGCGGCGGCGCTTCGCCCACACCGTTGACACGCCATGAAGAAGGCCCGCCGGCCCCAGTTGGCTCTCCGAGCCGTCGCGATCAAGAGCGTCCCGCGCACACGTCTCCTGTGCGCTCGCCGAGCCGTCCACCTGCAGAGCGCGCTGCGCCGTCGAGGGAGGAGCCGCGACCACCGCTGCGAGCTCCGAACCCGTTCCCTGAACGCTCTTCCGGCCTCTACGAGCTGCGCGCGCTCACTGAGTCACGGTATTCGCCACCTCGTGGTGAGGGCGTGTCCCTGGGCCCCGTCATCTCCAACCCTCTGGGCGAAGCTCAGTCCGAGCAGGTTGCGGCGCAGATGGCTCCCATGCGCTCCCAGCGCCCCGTGCTGTGGCCTCTGCTGAACCCCAGCACAGCCGACTACGGCTTCCGGCGTCGCGACCCCGCGGAGGGTTGTCGCCAGGCGTTCCAGCAGTCTCTCGCGCTGCACGCCATTGGGCCCGCGGCCCGTACTCCGGAGGAGCTCGCACTGCGTACGTCTCTGCGAGAGCGGCTCCTCACTCCACAGTCTACGACTGTCGCGGAGTATCGCGAGAGGCTGCGGCTGCAAGCCCAACAGAAGTCCGTGCCCGCCATGCGGACGTACCCGGTGGTACTTAGCCCGAGGGAAGACTCAATTGAGTACGAAGCTCAGTTCGAGTCTTGGGCCGAGCACAGCCGAAAGCTCAGCTCCATGGACGCTCTCCGAGCTAGCTTCAGTGAAGTGGATGTTCGCATTGAACGCAAGCTCCGCTTCGATTTCGCGAAGGTCCGAGCCGAGCGCAGCCTCACGGCACTCGCCCAGCCGCAGATCCAGTTTAGCGCTGCGCGCTTCGCTCCTTCGAGCACTCCAGCCGCTCCTTCCCGCGAGGGAGTGAGCGCTGTGGCTCAGGGTCAGCCTTGGAACAATGTGGCTGACCCAGCAGCTCCCCAGCTTATTGCCGGGAAGCGCGGGACGGCCGGCGTGCCGGCCTTGAGCCCTCGGGGCGCTGGTGATCAAGCTGATCAAAAGCGTCCACGACGTCTGGGCAGTCTTGGCGGAGGGGCACCATGAGCTCTCGGAGTGAGGGTATCCTCGCCATTTCACCAGATACTGGTTTTGACCCCGGCACCGCCGCTTCGCCAGGAGGCGCTCCACATGGTAATGTAGATTCCCGTGCTCATCGAGCAGAGCCGGTGGAGGCCGCTGTGGGGCCCTTTGCGACTCAAGGTGAGCTCTTGGAGGCGCGGCAGCAGGCGGGTCGCCATGGGGATCATATCCATGACGTTGATGCGCGTCTGGGCCGGACTGCCACCGAACTCGACGAGCTCGCCGAGCGGACGCGATGGATCGAGGTGCCTCGAGCGGTCTGGGACCGCCTTGGGGCCCTGGAAGACTGGGTGCGATACTATCGCGATCGCGATGAGCAACGTGGCCGGGAGCTCGGGGAGCTATAGCGTCAGCAGGCTGTGCTTCAGGGACAGCTCGACCTCCTGGCCCGCATGCAGGCTCCGACTGCTGAGCCTCCTGCGCATGCGGCTCTCGCTGTGCCCGCGGCACCTCCGGCGCCGATTCTTCCGCCTGTGCCTGCGGTGCCCACGTGGATGACCGCGTCCTCGACGCCTGCGACTGCGTCCTCGACGACCGCGGCCTCCGCGCCTGTGACCTCGCTACCCTCGGTGCCTCCATCGGCACCTGCATCGGGTCCTGGTACGGCTTGAGCAAGCCCACGTAGAAGACGGGGTGCGTCCGCATCTTCTTCGGAAGATTGAGCGTGTACGCAAGGCCCTTCTTGGCCACAACCTTGAAAGGTCCGACGAAGCGTGGGCGCAACTTCGTCTTGAAGACGGCTGACACTGCATGTGTAGGTAGGTTCTTAGCATTAAGCAACACCAGGTCCCCGACCTCATAACTGTCAACATTGCCTCTGCCCCTGGCATCTGCATGTTCCTTTTGCTTGTCTTGGCTCTCAGCCATTGCGTCACGCACATGTCGAAAGACGCGTCGACAAGAAAGCGTCAACCTGTTTACGAACAGTAGCCGGGCTGACATTGGCTAGCCGATCAGCTAAATCGGCTTCTCCTCCCCCACCAAGCCCGAGGCCACGACGTGGCGGCGTCAGCGGGACGCGGGGATGAGACAAGCTGTTCACGTAGAACGGCGTGTAGCCTGTCGAGGCGTGCACGGCGTTGTTCAACGCAAACTCAGCGAGTGGCAGCATGGCGCTCCAGCGCTTCGGCGTCTTGGCGCAAATGCTGCGGAGCACGTCCTGTAACGGGGTTACACGCACAAGTGGCTACAGCCACTTGTAACTCTAACAGAAACGACGTCTGTTAGAGGTTCGAAAGACTTTCTCGACCTTGGTGTAGACACACCAAAGGCTACATACATTTAGGATCACCACGACGGGTGGTCCATAGAGACTTAGGATTCCTATTGGTTGAGAGCAGCATCTTTTAGCCAATGAGTGACATGCATAGCATTGGAATTCTGCCCTCCAGCCGTTGGCAGATTCCTAGTTTAGAATATTACATTTAGAGGAAGTCAGAAACATAAAACAAAAATAGCAGTTCTCA